ATTTGTTCCTCTAATGAGATCATCATTTACCGTTATATAATCATAAGAATAGTTTCACGGTGGACCCGTATGTATTGAGGGAAAGACACTTCATCGTACGTAAAAACAAATCTTTCCCGTTTCACAGTCCTACATGTATATTGAATTTTACCCACAACTCAGAAAGTTGACCAGCGCGGGGTATGCTTAAACCTCTTATTCTAGATGTCAGGTAACTTACTCGTGTTTATGTTGGATTGCTGTCTGTTTGACGAATATCCGTCACTTTATATACTAGTATATATATAACAAACAAATTTCAATTATATATATATATACATTTAAATTTGTTTTTTAGGGATGCATCCAGTTGCACCTTTTCATTTAAAATATATTTCCGTGAAGTAATCTCAAAAGATTACTTACTTCAATAAAAAATAAAAAAGGGAAATGAAACCTCTTCTCGCATGTTGCACTTTGTGTAATTGTTCTCTTCGACAAAATACTGCCTTGAACTCAGTTTTGGTATAAATATAAAGAAGCCACATTTGGTTCTTAAATGGATATTTTGTAAACACCTAAAGCTAGGTAAAGCCTATCTCTTGATATAGGCTCTTAAATTCGGCAACTTTTAGAGACCGACCGTGCTTGGGCTGTATAGCCAGTCAATGTCGCTAAACTCTCATTATCCGTTTAGGGATTTTCTGAAAATACGATGGTTACTGTCTCATTAGAAACTAAAACCTTATCAAATATGGTGGCCTTCGGCTGTCATCTGCTCTTTTCAGGTTGTTGTCTCTTTGACATATTCATCATTTCCATTTTCAATTTTAAAATAACTAAAAATATGATAAACAGTTGTCAGATCAATATTCATTTAACAAGCCAGTGCGTTGATACAGGTTATATTTTATTGAATTTACTATATCCGTTATTATAACGTAATTATATAAGTCCCGTGTCCAGGTAAAAATTACAATTTGTGGTTTGTATGTCAGGTGAAAGTGACAATGGGTGGTATGTATACTGAAAGGAAATACCCCTATGATCTCTTAATTAATTATCTCTTCATTGATGATTGCAAATTTATTTATTGTTATATTTGTGGACGTGCAGTACTTGTACAATTTATATGGGTAAGTTGTGAGCGTGAGAAAAAAGTTCAAAGGTCTTTGAAGTTTTCTAAAAAGTATTCAGTACCAGATGTTGCACTGGCTTCAGCCGGGTATGTATAAAAGGGATATTTTTAGCTCACATGGCCTGACAGGCCAAGTAAACTTTTCTCATCACTTGGTATCTGTCGTCGTCGTATTACACAAATCTTCTCTGAAACTACTAGGCCAAATTTTACCAAACTTGGCCACAATCATTATTAATATTTGGGTATCTAGTTTAGAAAATATGTCCTTCGACCCTGCCTGCCAACCAACATGGCCTCCATGGCTAAAAATAGAATGAAGGGGTAAAATGCAAGTTTTGGGCTTATATCTCTGAAACTAAAGCGTTTAGAGTAAATCTGACATGGGGGTAAAATGTGCATCAGGTTTAGATCTATCTGCTCTGAAATTTTCATATATTTTTGAATATTTATATTTCTGAAACTAAAGCAAAAGTATAATCATGATAATGGTTGCATTACTTCATGCATCAATCATGTCAATTGTAAACAAAAATATCAGGTGAGCGACAAAGGCTCCAAGCTAGTTTTTTCAAACGTTATTATGCAAAATGGAGTCCAATGAGAAGGAAAAAGAAAAGTAATAACCATTATACATGTATATTTTAAATATTATTTTGAGAGTGCTTATAGTTAAAGAAACAAAACTTAAAAACATTTTGATGTTGAACATGTTGAACCATTTCCATTTTCAGTAGCAAACTATTGGATATCTGATATTAATGGCAAAAGATACAGTATTTTAGTAGCCCAAGTCAATATATATATATATGCGAATAAAATTTCTGATTTCTCATATGCATTTAAGGGGTTTGGGGTACATGTATATGAATGGTTTTTAACTTCTAGTGGCAAGTTAAATGAATTAATGTTCAAGATGAGAACATTATAATACATGTAAGCAAGGATTCACTATACAAATCCTTGATGTAAGATATGAATGGTTTATCCTGTTTTGTGACAGAATTTCGTTTTTGAAAACAATTTATCATATTTAATGAATGCAAATAGGGGATACATATGCGTTTCTTAATTTGTTTTGAATCACAATTGATTTAAATTGTCTGATAAATATTTCACAATTAAAAAGTTCAGCTAGTACAGTAGTTTAGACACTTATTAAGTCCCCTACCAACGAGGTCGAAGGGGACTTTAGGTTTGCACTCCGTCTGTCTGTCTGTCTGACAGACTTTAGGCTTGCACTCCGTCTGTCTCTGTCTGTCTGTCTGTCTGTCCGCCAAATCAGTTTTCCACACTTTTTTCTTCATGTTTGAAGATATTGATTTGGTGTATTGTTTTATCATGACAAGTTACAGATCAAGTTCGAATTTTTTTCCGGTCTGATGATTTTGTGCAGAGTTATGGTCCTTGGACTTAGAAAATTCACTCAAATAATCAGTTTTCCACAATTTTTTTGGTCATGCTTGAAGATATTGATTTGAAAATTTTATATAAAGTTTTAAAATGACCAGTTACAGACCAAGTTCGAACTTAGTTCTAGTTTGATGATTTTATGCGGAGTTATGGTCCTTGGACTTAGAAAATTCAGTTAAATAGTCATTTTTCAACACTTTTTTTCGTCATGCCTGAAGATATTGACTTGATATTTGTTATATAGCCTACATCATGACAAGTTATAGATCAAGTTAGAATTTTGTTCCAATACAAAGAATTTTTAACTGGTAGGGGACTATGTATTGCCATACAATACTCACAGAATGCTTGTTTAGCTTATTATAACATGATATAATGCTTGGTTTTTTTTTTGTTACCTACATGTATTCTGACATTGTACTCTGACTTATTTTAAACTGAGTTTTACATGTTTTATTGTACGTATTGCTGGGTGGATTTTTTTCTACATTTGCCAGGGGCGTTTCCAGGATATTTGAAAGAGGGGGCGTAGACTACATTTTTTTGGAACTTTTTTTGGCTAAAAAACATAAAATAATTGTGAAATGCACTAATGTAACGGTTCCCGCGGAGTGACTTAGAGCATGTATATTTTATAGTTAAAGTGTCAGGGTTTGATATTTTTTATGCCGAATTCTCTCCATTAATTGTCTATGGTATATTAAAATGATTGGATGGATCTTAACAGCAGTAGACCAATAACGAGAAATTCCAAATTCTAGGGTATAGGGCGTTACTTTACATTTCAATAGTCCTAGGCCAGGATTTTATGAACGGGAGGCGTAATTCCGGTTGCCCTGGTATAGGGTCCATGGGGAAGGTCAGAAGCTCCTGGATTTCAAAAATTTAGCATCAAATTATAAAGTATTAAAACAGACTCCATGATAGACAAATTGGTGAAAATAGTCTGCCTTCGGATCATTCAAATTATGTATTGATTAACATGTGGATATCAAATCTTTGGAAGAAGTTGTAAATTCAGTTTAAAGGTTATATGAAATGGGCATGAAAAATGAAAAATAAATCTTTAACGATAGCTTTTTCTGAACTTTTGATATATGTATTTATCCATACCCGACTGTTTTGTTAAAATATTCCTTTTCACTGTTTTGGTCTTTTGGAAAATGTTGTTTGTGCTGTATTTAGACCCCTTTACCAAGAAATTTCTTTTGCATGCACACGTATAAAGATTGCGGTTTTTATCCAACGCAATCATAGGTTTGAACGTTGTTTTCAATTTAGTAGATATAAAAAGATGTGCTATGAGTGCCAATGAGACAACTCTCCATCCAAGTCACAATTTATAAAAGTAAACCATTATAGGTCAAAGTACGGTCTTCAACACGGAGCCTTGGCTCACACCGAACAGCAAGTTATAAATGGCCCCAAAAATTACTAGTGTAAAACCATTCAAACGGGAAAACCAACGGTCTAATCTATATAAGAAACGAGAAACACTTATGAACCACATCAACAAACGACAACTACTGAACATCAGATTCCTGACTTAGGACAGGTGCAAACAGTTGCAGCGGGTTTAAACGTTTTAATGGTACCAAACATTCACCCTTATCTGAAACAATAGTGTAACATTGTATTTATAATACCCGTTCTAGATAGTCAAATCTGACCCCTTCCAATGCAAGGCGAAAAAAACATAACCCCATTTCAGACAATTTAGCTAAAAATGCAACCCTGTTTGTCGGAACATACCCGGTATCATATATATATAGCGAATATCCCCCGGGTAGATGTAGAATGGCCATTGGGGAAGTGTCACACAAAACAACCATTTCATGTATAGATTTGCTTACCGCTTTGGTTGTTTAAAAAAGGTGTCCAAATCACCCATCGGATGGGGGAATCAGTATAAAAAGAAATCAGAGTATGTGTTTAATTAATGAATATGATAAATTGCCATATTCAATACAATATAAGCAGATAACGATAGTTTTTTTTTGTTTTTTGAAAAGGGGGGCGTACGCCCATTACGCCCTTACCTGAACCCGCCCCTGCTATGTGGAACACTCCAGAAATTTTTGACCTGAAAGATCTTTAGATGTTGTATGTACAATGATGTATATGAATTTTTCCAATTTCTTTTAATCAATTAATATGCAGCAAAAGAGCAATATTTGTTTTTCAAGTTTAGCTTCACAAGCTTCTAATGTAATTATGTACATGATGTATGTAAATAATGAACTTAAAACATCTTTTCTTTACATAAACAGTATATATTTCTTATAACACAGTTTACATGGTTTAACAAATTCTTTTTTTTTTAATGTTAGTATATCTTTGACTTTTTTTAGAAATAACTTTAAATCCGTATTGTCACCGGCATTGTTTCACTATTGATTTTCTTGACTTTATCATAAGAGCCATTGACACATCTTAAAAAATATGGCTGTGTTTACAATGATTTACTTACATGACTTACATCACAAATTAAACTCTCAGTTCAGATAATCCAGTACAAATCCAGGACCTAGGTAAATAAAATCTAAATGAATATTTTCTTAAAGAATTATTTTCTGACGGAATTGCTTCCCTTAGAAAATTTAGTAGATACTTAGACTTAGTCAGCCGTAAGCGGTTGAGCTAAGGAAGTACTTCTTTAGCTCAGTCGTTTAACGCGATGCCTTGTAACACAGAGGTCCCGTGTTCGAGTCCCGTTAGAGACATGCGATTTTGCAAGAAGAATCATGCTCTCTGGTTACAATTTAAAACTATCCTGGATTTGAATATGTATTTTTTTTCAGTCAATATGAGTGTACAAAATAGTTATAATTTATTAGTATCTTTATTTTGGCTTTGCACAAGGTCATGTTTTCTCGACTGTTAATAACGTCTTTACACTAAATCCATTGGATGTTAGACATGTGCGGATTTTTTTTGTCTATAGATACATGTACATGACATTCTTTAACTAGACTAAGTAGTTAGTGTAAATTCAGAAATTATTGTGAGGTTTTTCTAATGTAAATAATACGACTACTTGAGTATCCCAATAATAAGAACTTGCATTCTGATATCAAATATATACTTCTGTATGACAGTATGTGACTTTTCGGAAAATTGCAATATATTTAAACTTGCATTTTTTGTTAATTCTTCAAAGTTAATTAATTGATGCACTCAATAATTTCGGAATTTACAGTATTGGTTTTTGACTAACTTGAAGTAACTGATATGTGCTTTAATTTGTGTCTTTTGCATTTTTGTTAGTTCATGTAGTTTTGTGTGTGAATTGACCTGACGACATGGACGAGTAAAGCACTTTTAATAGATATAAAAAGTGAAACAAGCTTGACCACAAGCAATTTAATTTTAACTAATTTTATTTGAAAAATTAGCAAAAGAGATTGGACACTTAATTAGGGACATTGTTTGTTTTTCTTTTTTGTAAATGGGCGCAAAATGGCAAAACTCAAGAACGGTAAAAGTGACACGACCTAATTAGGTCTTTCCACTTTTCTGTGGAAAGACCTATTGTATTTGTTCTGATTATTATTATTTTTCTTTCGCCAAATTTTGTTCTCGTGTAAAATTTTTGTTTCGCAATATGTAGCTAAGATTTTTCTTATATAGTATCATACAGTTTATGCACTTTTTATTTTCGCACATTCTAAGCCGAACAATTTTCTTTGTAAGAGTTCTCTCCCTAATCACTGTTTATCAAGTGTGTGCATCTCCCTCGAAACAAAAAAAGATATCGACAAAATTCTTTTTCTAAATTGTTTGTTACATCCTCAGGAATTTTTGGCTAATTTCGATCGATGCTATGCGAAGAAATTTTATAGGAGTTACCTACCTTTACCAAATAAAGTTGTCGGTATGTTTTTTTTAACTCATAAACCGTTAACCGTATAACCATGGAATCTTTCTATTTGAGGTCCCTAGGTCCTAACTTAGAAAATGAGGTCAAGGTCAAAGGTCAAGGTCAAGTTCTCAATTTTGACTTTCCTTGTTTTTGCATTTTCTCCAACACTTTTAAAGATATATATGAAAGAACAAGTGCAAAATGTTTGCTTTATTGTAATGAAGATATGTTCCATTTGGTTAGAAACAATCTAATGGCATCATATAGGAGTTAGTGCCCCATAAATGTCTAATTATAAGGTTAATTGATTATTACTTCAACTTGGTTCATTATAAAGCCATATGATCTTTTACAAAAGGTTGGGTGACATATGACCTTTAAAAATGGCAACCGGAAGTGACCTTCAGAAAACCGGAAGTATCCATTTTTGCACTTTCTTCAAGGAAAAGTACTCGGAATCTATATATTTTGTAATTTTAATACATTAACTTATCATTAAAGACTAGAAATGACTTACGATAAACCGGAAGTGGCCAAATTATTATCTCCTGGTTTACAGGCAAAAGTATATAGAAACTATATTTTTGGAATCAGTGTGAAAGAAACTATCATATGAGACCGGAAGTGACATTTACTTCACCTGGAGTAACTAATTATCTCCCTTATTTCACTCAGAAGTATATTGAAACCACTTATTTATCGCATCAGTATGAAGAAACTGATAAGATGCCAATTTTAACTTTGAGTAAACAAGAACTAGCTTCTTTTCAATAAATTTGAAAATTGCTGTGGAAAGACCTTCAATTGTTCTCTGAACATTATTGGTTTTTAATTTCAAACTTGATCTGTGTTTTGTGTTAATAAACATTGTGTAGTATTTCAATTACAAACTAAATGTAGAGAACGGAAACAACAGATTTAGCACTAAGTCTTTGTCAATTTGTAAAGGGGCAAAGCTCATGAAGCTCAAGAATGGTGAAAGACACACCATTCAATAGCAAACTTGAGTTGTGTTTTGTGGTAATAAGCCTAGTGTATAATTTAGATTTATAACACCTGTTTGAGGCAAACGGAAACCAGTTCTTGGAACGTACGCATGCGCGACGGACGGACTGAACTGACGGACAAGGGCTAGATTAAATGCCTCCATCATGTAGCTGCAGGGGCATACAAAATATTTTAACACATAATTCGTAACCGGTCTCACTAATTAGCGACAAGAAGCATCAAGAAACGACAAGAAGCGACAAGAAAAGTCAAGAAGCGACAAGAAGAAACAAATTAGCGACACAAAGAATAACAAAGTCCCTAATTACAGTAGAGAGTAGAAAAATCAATAAAAAATAAAAAAAAAAAAAATCAGGAAAATTTCCCGTAATTTTCATTGTACTAATGAACTCAAAATGGGTGCAGGCCGTTTCGTAACCTGGTCGTTTCGTAACTTACTAGGTCGTTTCGTACCTGAGTCGTTTTGTAACCTTATATCAATATATAATAACAATATGAGTCGTAGGTTGCGTAAAAAATAATAAAAAGATTTATTGATGTATATATATATCTATATTTATTTATCAAATAATTGATAGCACATAGTTTTACACTTTACAAGTACAATTTTGCACACATGCGAATAGAACAGAAGAATTTGAATTGTCCATCATCATTTAGATGTACCCCGTCATTATCAAAGTACTTAGTCTTCTGAGTGAGTGCCACGTGCTTTCAGGTCAAGTTAGTATCCGAAAGTAAACTAAAAAGGTATCAGCGTGTTAGGATCCGCTGCATACAAGGACACATTTTCTCATTCTGGGATAAATACACTCAAAACCAGATGTCATGTAGTACTTTGTTAAGGAGGTGTGCTTTTATTTACGGACCAACTGCTGCTGCTGCTGCTCCGGCAAACTAAGACTTTGTTTCATTTTTATACCAGGGTTTTTCGGATGAAAAATCAGGCTTTATGCCAGTATAAACATGCAAACAAAGGACAACATAGTGATGTATCTGAAAGAAGGAAAAAGAAAAGAGTAAGATAAAGTGTTCTAAAAAAAAAAGCCCGGGTGAAAAAGGAGGAGGGTTATGCAATTGCATGTAAAAGTGAAAAAAAAGGAGAAAATTATTTTTTTCAGGTCGTGTGCCATAGGTCGTGTGCCATTAATCTACTTAATCACTTTACACCTACTGTAATTACTTTTTATTACCTGTCATTATTTGTCGTAAAACCATGAAAGCTGTCACCGAGCGCAATTACCAATTAGCCAATTAGCCAATAATTAAAAAGATTTAAGAAAGTATTAAATTAAAAATATTACAATATTGTTATTATTAGATGAACAATTTGATCATTTTTAAATAATAACTTTAACTGTTTCATTTAAACTAATTAATTTTAACTAACACTTTATAACCATATATAACCATGTCCCGCTTGAACTTTTGACGTCATACAACAATCACTTTTCCATTGTGGCGTCAGATATTTTCTATTATGACGTCAAAATTGTACGGGAACTTTTGTGATGTCCAGTAATGGCGGACAAATAGCGATAAGGTGTATTACACCAGGTACGAAACGTCTCAGTTAAAAAACAACGTAGTTACGAATCGACCAGGTTACGAAACAACATGCATTCCTCAAAATCGTTAACTTTTTTTTGTAACTTTTTTAAATTCCCCCATTTGTGCAGAAATCTACTTGCTTCTTCCGGTCTCGTTTGTCATGAGACTTTGAGTGAAATATATATTTATCAGCCCAGTAACATATAGGAAGGAACACAATAACAATTTCATTTCTAATTATTCTTTGATATGAAAAAACGTTACCTGATGATAGTGTTTCTTTGTTTACATTGAATATGACGTCAAAACTAAAATCCCTAACAGTAACAACATAACCAAAATCGGGAACGTTACGGTATTTCCATTTCTTTTTTAAAAGATTTAGAAATTAAAATAATTTATATAGACTTCGTCCCCTTTCACAAGTTATGCCTGCCTCATGTTATGTTTTTCGTTTATTGTTTTGAACTTTAATCAGGCCGTTAGTTTTCCCAATTCCAATGGCTATAATATTGAACTGTTTAATATTTGTGATTGCATCATGGCCTACTATAGCTTGTTATACGGTATGGGTTCTACTCGTTGTTGAATGTCATACGATAAATTTGCCTATAATACACATATGGACCTACATTTTGTAATACATTTGATAACTAATTGTCTCATAATTTTGCAATCATAACACAACAGTTCAACATGTTATTTACGGTCTCAAAATATCAAATATAAGTCTGTACAAGTGAATACTATCTTCTTTAGTTTTCAAGTTATAAACAGTATTAAGTCTCCCCATATATTATTCACTCCAGTTTGTAAAATATAATATAAACCATTGTCTTCTCATAACTTACTTTTCTTTACCATTGTTTACAGGGAGAATATAAGTCGAGGGAAAGAAACTAACGTTATCTTTCTTTTTACAGGTCCCTTACCTACCTTATCTGTAAGTTCCGCCTTTGTCAGGCGCACTTCCAAGACGGCGTATGTAAGTATTTGATTTGGATGGAAATGCACTCCTACATAGTAGCGCTATTCGTTCAATCGTCGATTAAAGATCATCATAGCTTATTTTATGTCCTTATTTTCTTATATACTATGCCGACTCTACACTGATAAAAGCTTATTTATTATTATTATTTACTCGGTCAAAACTGAGTCGGACTTTTAAAATGGCATTATGCATTAAAAATTACTACCGATAGCCCAGCAAGCATAACATTATGTGGATTAAACAATTAATGTTATGGGTAATGGCTTCTTAGGTTAATATAAGACATTATAATTATAAAACTTTGAACATCAAAACCTACATGAAAATGTTTAAAACCACAAACGGGTTATTGTTTATAAGTAATACCACATTTAGATAACATGATACCGAATCATACGTGTCTCTGTAAGTTCCGAGCTTTCAGTGGACCATGATTGACCACTTACACGACCACATTGATAAGGCTTATCGTCAGTATATGTAAATATTAAACATTTTTGTTAAGGGGCAAACTGAAGCTCGCCTCCGGGAGACGGCTGGTGGCCCTAGGCTGTTTTCAGTTCTTTTGTTGAGTTGTTGTCTCGTCTCTTTGACAAATTCCCCGTTTCCATTCTCAATTCTAATTGTCTCTCTCTCTCTCTCTCTATCTCTCTCCGAATTCTTGCTGTCAGTGAAAATTTGCATGAACACCACACTAATTAGGTTTATCACCAGTATGTATTCACATATCTCTCTGTGAATTCTGATTGTCAGTAAATCATTGAACACTAACACCACATTAATAAGGTGTATCACCAGTATGTGTCGACATATATCTCATTGTGAGTTATACATGTTATAGCTTGAACATAACACCACATTGATTATGTGTATCACCAGCATGTGTCCACATGTCTCTCTGCGAGTTCTGGCAGTCAGAAAAAACATTGAACACTTACAACACATTAATTATTTTTATCACCAGTATGTGTCCACATGTCTCTATGTGAGTTCTGGTGGTCAGTGAAAGATTGAACACTAAAGTCTTCTAAACCACATTGACTATGTTTATCATCAGTACGTGTCCACATGTCTCTCTGTGAGTTCTGGCAGTCAGAAATATATTGAACACTTACAACAAATTGAAAATGTTTATCACCAGTATATGTAGTCTCTTTGACAAATTCCACGTTTCCATTCTCAATTTTACTTGTCTCTCTCTTTCTCTCTCTCTGAGTTCTAGCTGTCAGCGAGACATTGAATCCTTTTTCAATGAACCAGTTTAAAGTTTGTTTATGGACCAAAAAAAAAGAGGGGCGAAAGATACCAGAGGGACACTCAAACTCATAGATCAAAAGAATAAGAAAAACAGATAAATAATAGAACACTATACACAACATAGAAAACTAAAGACTAAGCAAGCAACACGAACCTTACCAAAAACTGGGGGTGATCTTAGGTGTTCCGGACTTAAGCCTGCCTCCGAGTGCGCGATTTTCTCGCCGTGTTACAGACGCATTGGTGACCATCGGCTGTGTTCTGCTCTTTGGTCGGATTGTTGTCTCTTTGACACATTTTCGCATTTCTATTCTCAATTTTATTTTATTAAGTATCGACTTTAAATAAAACTTAATTGAATCGAATTGAATTGAAACATTGACCGTCCACTAAGCATTAATATGTGTTCACATGTCTCCAAGTTCTGACTGTCATTGTCCTATTGAACATTAACACACAATATATATGTGTTCACATGTCACCATTTTCTGACTGTCATTGACCTATTGAACATTTGCATAATATTTATATGTATTCACGTGTCTCCAATTTCTGACTGTCATTGACCTATTGAATATTTACATTACATTTATATGTGTTCATGTGTCTCCAATTTCTGACTGTCATTGACCTATTGAACATTTACACAACATTTATATGTGTTTACATGTCTGTAAGTCCTGGCGGTCATTTTCCTATTGAATATTTACACAACATTTACATGTGTTCACATATCTCAAAGTTCGGACTATCTTTGTCCTGTTGAACATTTTCCCAACATTTATATGTGTTCACGTGTCTCCAATTTATGACTGTCATTGACCTATTGAACATTTACACAATATGTATATGTGTTCACATATCTCCAAGTTCTGACGGTCATTGCCATATTCAACATTTGCAGAACATGTTTCCACATTCTGACTGTCATTGTCGTATTGAACATTTACAAATCATTTATATGTTCTCACATGCCTCAAAGTTCTGACTGTTATTGAAACACTAGATATTCGTGTTTATGTAGTTTATTGAGTATCGACTTTAAATAAAACTTAATTGAATTGAATTGATTTGAACCATTGTAAAACTGTTATTCGACCTGCTTGTCAAATGCGTTTTGTTAAAATATACTTTTTTCACTCATTTGGTCTTTTGAAAAATGGTGTTTGTGCTGTATTTAGAAATTGTTTTGCATGCACACGTATAAAAATTGCGATTTTTATCCAACGCAATCATAGGTTTGAACGTTTTTATCAATTTAGACTTGTTTATATTTTTTTCGTTTGGGCTTGGATTATATTTGTCTTTGGGTTTATATGATCCGTTCATCCTATTTTGACTCTTTCAAAATTCAAGAGTCTATCCTAAATTGAGGTAAATTATATGGCCTTCGAAATACCGTTTCGATTCCTAACATTACTGAAGAGACATTAATTGTCGAAATCCGGATATGGTGTACAAATTTTTGCACCTCATGTTTGCGGTATACCATCTTTTCCGCAAGTTTTTTGTTTTCTGTTTGGTAATAAATAAGTTATAAGATCTATTTTGTTACATCTTGTGATCCGTTTATTTGGCAATCGCCAATGGCAGTCAGCAGGGTTAAAGAACATCAGTTGTTCGACCTGCTTGTCAAATGCGTTTTGTTAAAATATACTTTTTCACTCATTTGGTCTTTTGGAAAATGTTGTTTGTGCTGTATTTAGACCCTTCTTCGAAGCAAGTTGTTTTGCATGCACACGTATAAAAATTGTGGTTTTTATCCAACGCAATCATAGGTTTGAACATTGTTTTCAATTTATTTAGACTTGTTTATATATTTTTGTTTGGGCTTGTATTATATTTGCCTTCGGGTTTATATGATCCGTTCATCCTATTTTGACTCCTCAAAATTTAAGAGTCTATCCTAAATTGAGATAAATTGTATGGCTTTCCAAACCGTTTCGATTTCTAACATCACTGAAGAGACATTAATTGTCGAAATCCGGATATGGTGTACAAAAACCTTTGCACCTTTTGTTTGCGGTATATCATCTTTTCCGCAAGTTTATTGTTTTCTGTTTAGTATTAAATTTATAATTAAGATTCATTTATTACATCGGTGATCCGTTTATTTGGCAATCGCCTATGGCAGTCAGCAGAATTTAAGAACATTTGTTGTTCGACTTGTTAGTCAAATGCGTATATATATAAGATTTTAAATAGAAATACGCAATATTTCGCTAAACAAACTAGCTTCATCAGGCGTGTGCATCTCTCAAGGTGAAATCGGATGCATGACAAACAAATATTTTTGTAGCTTGAACTACACAAATTTTGAGTAAAAGTTTAACATATTTATTGATGTTCTATAAAAAATATATGTTTGTAGCTTCAACTACATAAAGTTGGAGTAAAAGTTTAACATATTTATTGATGTTCGATAAATTGTATGAATTTCTATAAATTGTATGAATTTCTATAAATTAATTTGTATGATTTCAAGATTTTAGTTTTGATTTGTTTTTAAATCTTTTTTCGTCTCTCTCATTGAGTCCATCAGGTTCAAGAGTTCGTAACTGGTGCATCCAAAATCTCTCTCTCTCTTTTGTCTTCCTTGTGTATCCCAATTTTGGGTTTTCTCAATGATTTGAAATGTGACGTTTTCAAAATCATGTCCTGCTCTTAAAAGATGTTTTGTGATTGGGCAGTTTCTTTCTTTTGTATAGAATGACCGATGATTATTTAGTCGGATGTTAAATGGTGTTTCTGTTTCACCAACATATTGCAACTTGCAAGTTCCACACGTTAGAACATAAATACAATTTTGCGTTTTGCAATTTGATGTTATAAATATGTTGTATTATATATATATATATATATATATATATACACGTCTTAACATGTGACAACTTTATGACAGACATTCTCCATCGGATAACACGTGGTTATACAGGGCTAACACCATATATATATATAATTCGTCTCATGTTTAGCCCAACAATATTAGGTCTTCAAATTTTTGTTATTCCCTCAGCGGAATTCGAACCCTTGCGTCTGTGACATCGTGACAACACCGCCTGAACCGTGTCCAGTGCCCTAGACCAATCGACCACCTAGGCTACATAAAAATATAACTTTCGGTGGTCGATGTAATGGATTTCCTAGTCGCCTTTATCTAGGGTTGTTACACAGTACATTATGTACAGTGGCAAGCAGATGGTGTAACTTTGCTAACGCAAAGGAGTAGGTCCGGTAAGGGCCGTTTTTGGCCTCAAAATTCAGGTTCATCTGATGAAAGATTTTGGACACTTTTTAAACACTTAAGTGTCTACTTCAGTCGATTCGATTAGTTTATGTGAAAGATTTGAACTGATTTAGTCATTAACGACGCTCAAATTCAAGCTTAAATATGAAAAATCTATCAAGTATGCCATAATATGTCACTTTTCAGATGGTTTTTGTCAAAAATGAAAGTGGCCGCATCCGTGTTCATTCTCAACCTTTATATATGTTATGTATTATCATCAAATACAACTTGCATTTAAATATTAAGAATGAACACAAATGCGGCCACTTCCATTTTAGACGGAAACCGTCTAAAAATTAACCAAAATGCTAAAATTTCAAAGATTTCAGTAATTTAGCATGACTTAAT